GGTATGCATTGACAGACACACTGCCGGGCAGTATAAACATCAGCCAATCGGGTGTCTCGGAGAAGGCACTGACAGATGGAATAGTGGCGACCAATAGGACGGTGCAAATGATGGCTCAGATGAGCGAAGCCTCGCACTTCCTGAAGAACTCATCCGTATGTAACTACACGTGGGTTTTAGACGGTCGCACGTTTGACACGAGTCTGTCACCCATTCTCTCGCATAACTTCACATCCAATCATACATATGACGTTCAAGTGATCATTTTCTGTAATATAACGCATTTGAAGACAAATATCTCAAAGTTAGGACACTTCCAGCGATCTCTTACCCCCAAGAATGAGATCAAAGAGATGAATGTGACGGGAAATCCGTTTATATTAGACGGTGCACTCCTTCAGTTGCAGGTGACCTGCAAGGGAGGGGATCAGCCATTTTGGTATTGCTATGAATATTCCGAGAAACCGAGGGTTAACTACACGTGCAGTAAAGAACTGTTTCATACAAATGACTGCTATTTTCCAATCGTTCATTACTTCCCAAAGAACGGCACTTATTATATAGACATTGCTATCTATAATGACGTGAATGTCAGCTACCGTCTAATCAATCAAATAAAATATATTTAAATGTAACCATAATTTATGATATATTTAATATAATTTACCAAAACCTCACTCAATTGATATTCATTAATTCATTGATTACTTTTAATTGATAAAAATTAGTGCTACATTTAAAATAAGCACATATATGAAATAATTGATTTGACCATGATGAAAATGTATATTGTCATGTGCAGCATACCTTGCCATACATTACTGTTACTCTGGTATTCATTGATGGGTTGGGTTGAGTAGTGAGAGTGTGGTGTTTGGTCTAACATGACGTGAAGTGATCAATAAGTTTGTGATCGTTATTGTGGTTATAGTAGTGAAGTGAATGTACAGTACTGTGGAGTACAGAGAGACAGTACAGCTCTTGTCAGTCCATTCATTGAATGCCTATTAGATATGATTTACAATTAGTCTCAATGCGTGACCTTTTCTCCGATTATTTCACTCTTTAAAACCGTTTTGTTTGTTATCTGAACTCACATTTTACTATTCAATCAAATTATAGATCCATTACTTCATTAATTGCATATAAAATGCATTTCAAAGCAATCAATAATAATCATAATAACCATAACTTATACCTATTATTGGCTTTTATTTTATTGTCTTTAATCCCAGGTTTAAACTCAGGTTTGTTTGCATCCATTCATTGCATTTTGATTATGCATTCAATTTAGTTGTATATTAAGTGATATACCATTAAGTGGTGCAGTCGGCCATACATTAACCACAACTCTTTTCACCCAAAGATAACGACATATCTACCAACAGTCCTATGCTTTTGGCGGAGAACAAGGCCCTCAACATTGTCTGCAACTTCACTAACCATGACCAACACGTGCTGGTCATCTGGAAGTGGTAAGACATTCACACTGGTGCACTCTTTGCCTCCATATCCCACTCATGCATGTGTTGATGGCTTTGAATGATAGGTACAAAGAAGATGTTGAATACAACTCCTTCTCAGATGAAGACAAACAACGAATTAGTATCGATCCTAAAGACGGCTCTCTTTTCATCTCAAAAGCCAATAAAAAGTACTATTCATTGAAAAATCACGTGAAATATTAACCATAAGTATGACTGCTTTTGTAGTGATATCGGCAACTGGAAGTGTGAATCACCCACAGATCCCAACCTCTTCACCAAAATTATAGTCCGATGTGAGCTATGACTGCATTGAACGGCAAATGAAAGCAAATGGTCTTAATTGATATGTTTATGCATTGATAGCTAAGCCGTGGATGTATTTGTTTGAAGAGTTCCAGAAGACTAACTACAAGTCTGCGAATATAGTGGAGGGACAGAGGTTTCACTTGAAGTGTCAGGTGATGGAGGACTACACGACCGATGCCTGGATTGAGTGGTTTATGTTCAATGAAAGCGATTACATGGACCCAAGAAGACATATGACTCGTTTGCTTCCGGACACCAACCCTCGCATCAAGATTGTCTTCGAGAACCAAACCCTAAGCACTCTGACCATCGACTCTGTGGTGCCGACCGACCGATACTATTACCTCTGTATCTCCCATAACGGCGTCTCATCCGTTAACAACACTATTCTGCTCAGAGTTAAGGGTAGGTTGCAGTCCATCCATGTCTACACTCCATGTCCATCGCCTCAACACTATGTCCAACCAATTTGCTGTGCATTTCAGATAAGTTGGGGGCGTTGTGGCCATTCTTAGGCATTGTGGCTGAAGTGGTGATTCTCTGCACAATTATCTTTATTTATGAGAAACGAAGAATTAAACCAGACTTCGATGATTCCGATGACAATAACACCGAACCGTAATTATTATCGTCTTATCTAAGAATTTATTATTATTTCATAAATGATTACTTTATTAATAGGAAGGCATCTCAGGACAGGTCGAGTAAATCCCAAGACGTGAGACAACGAAAATAATAGTCATTTTTAGTGATATTTTTAGTTAATTTTCAATTCTTTGATTCCTTCTTCACTCCGTTTATTAGCCATAAATTGCTCTCAAAATCAATTTATGAAATAGAAAGTCCGTCATCACTCTACCAGCTCTCTCTCTCCCTCCCTCTCTCTCTCCCTCTCCCCCCCCTTCTCTAATCATTTTTAAAATAAGTTTCTTTGATCTGAAATAAAAGAGTTGAGATTTTTCTCTATTGTTTGATTCTTATGGTTATTATGAAGAACTTGTGGTATAAAGAGTTCAATTATACGATAATATATTATAAACTACAATATGTTGTGTAATAGATGTTGACATGTATTGATGTCAATGATTACACAAAATAGTTTCAATAATAAAAGTGCAATTTAAGTGCAATCACACTCTATAGTCCAGGCCTTTGTTTGTTAGTCATTACTTAAGTTTGAAAACTATGAATTTCTTTCATTAATCAGTTTTAAGTGATTTTGATTCTAAATACTATTATATAACAAGTGATTGATTGATAGGATATTATAATTAAAATAAAAACAAATTAAGACTACATTAACCAGACATACCATTACTTGTAATTACATTATAAATACAATTATTATTCGATTGTTTGAATTTTGCCAACATTTAAATCTTTTGTAATCATAGATATATTAAAATAAAATGTGTACATTTTTCTCATAAAATTATCGCATTTATTAAAACTGTTAACTAAAACATAAATTAAGTTTTCATTATTATAATCCAATTCATAAAGATTTCTTTAATTAATTACAAAATATATATACAATTAAACGAGTGATGAGAAGACTATTTAACGATACCGTAGGAGAGAGTGTTGGTATTGATAGCACTGTCGTTGGCAATGGTGTCATCGAAGGGCTCGTCATAACTCTGAGCTCTAGTGCATGGATTGAACGGATAGAAAAAGGTTTCCCTCATTGCTGTGGCGATCGTCGAGCGAAGCCTTTCAAAGAAGGTCTTCTCCATGAGGTCGTCGTTGTGCTGGAAGTCAAAGTCCGCCACTTCTAGAGTCATGTTCTCGTGAGCCCTTTGCTGCAAGTGATAGGCGATGCCCACCACCACTATTATGATGGCCAGTATTGACGACACAATCGGGATTATCACAAACGAGAGCTGTGTCTGACGTATGACTGAAGCATAACAACTATAAGACAGTATTCAGGGGCCAACTCATGGATCACTTACTCTCGTAAACGTTGACTTTAATTGTTTTATTGAAGACATTCACGTCATTATAGATAGCAATGTCTATATAATAAGTGCCGTTCTTTGGGAAGTAATGAACGATTGGAAAATAGCAGTCATTTGTATGAAACAGTTCTTTACTGCACGTGTAGTTAACCCTCTGTTTCTCGGAATATTCATAGCAATACCAAAAGGGCTGATCCCCTCCCTTGCAGGTGACCTGCAACTGAAGGAGTGCACCGTCTACTAGCCACGTATTTCCCGTCACATTCATCTCTTTGATCTCATTCTTGGCGGTAAGAGATCGCTGGAAGTGTCCTAACTTTGAGATATTTGTCTTCAAATGCGTTATATTACAGAAAATGATCACTTGAACGTCATATGTATGATTGGATGTGAAGTTATGCGTGAGAATGGGTGACAGACTCGTGTCAAACGTGCGACCGTCTAAAACCCACGTGTAGTTACATACGGATGAGTTCTTCAGGAAGTGCGAGGCATCGCTCATCTGAGCCATCATTTGCACCGTCCTATTGGTCGCCACTATTCCATCTGTCAGTGCCTTCTCCGAGACACCCGATTGGCTGATGTTTATACTGCCCGGCAGTGTGTCTGTCAATGCATACCAGTTATCATTAGTTTCAATCATATACTATATGTACTCATGAGTACTATATGTGATCGCATGACCACTACATCTCACAATCCAAGTGTTACTCTATTCAGTAATGAATATAATAATCAAAATTCAAACAATGCTTTCAATACTTTGGAGAACAAATTGGTGATTGTCTTCGGCGATGAGCCATCCCCTTAAGCCCCAGATGTAGACATAGACCTCAACTCTCATATTGTATTTGTCAGCTGAAGTGTCTTTCGAGTTATAAGTGATGGTATAATTGGCGTCTCGACCACTGATTATCTCCTGACGATGTCGTGGAGACACTCCCATGTCATCGAAGACATACACGAATTGACTCTCGAGTCCAATATCACCACTCAATGTGGCCCTAAAGGTCACCGGAATGTCCAGAACTCCCGGTCCATCGTCCTCCACATCGACCCTCGCTGTCAGCCATAGATTATCATATAATTATCGCATCAATTGATCCGTTCATTCACTTCTTACCGCAATGGATGCTTTCAATGACAAGCAAACACAAGACGATTGTGTGGATATTAATGTCTAAAATAGCAGTACTTCTCATGTCTATTAAATTGATCTCATTTTACAATCAAATCAAATGTAATCAAAGAAGTGATTCAATGGATTCAGTCTTCAGACGATTGTTTACATTGAAGTGAATGAACACAACATTGAATACAAACATAACGTCTCTCTCTATATATCCAGTGTTTTGTGCTTTTGTTGCACTCTTTCAGTGAATCACATGTTTTGCACCAAATTTCATGTGATTTGCAAATTCAGTGCCAATTAGTGCCAATCAGTGCCAATTAGTGCCACAATCAATTGGCAGACAATGGCAGCCATCGATGTGGTCTCCCGACTCTTGTCTGCCATGGAAGTGGTTCTCAACGATTGTCTGTCAGCCCATTGTGACGACACTCTCATCGAGAAGTTGTTGTCGTTTCTCAAAGACGACCTCAACTTTCAATTCAATGACAAGAAATTGGTTTTAAACTCATTTGAGAAGTCAATTGATTCGCCATTTGATGATCTCATGGCAACCAATGATTGCCAACAATTATCAACTAAATTACGAGTTTGTGGTTCACTTCTTGCGGACCAACACCTCTTTGAATGTCAACGAAATTGTCTGAAATTTATTGAACTAATGTCTACTGAAGTGATTAATAGCAGTAAATCGTCGCTCAAGTTCTCATTCTTCAGGTGTCTTAACAACATGAGTGGTCACCGTTTGGGATGTGATTGGATTTTGACCACAAGTTTGGATGAATCAACAAATTTTAAAAGCTTTTTACATATTTTGTGGTATTTTATGAACAAAAGTGAGACCCGTTTTGTGGACCAGGAAGTGATGAAACTCTTTATTTGTTTGACAAACCACTCGTTGTCTGAAAAGCATTTGTCTCACCATTTGGATCAAGTGATGGACCAAATGATGGCATCGATTACTACGCGTACTATTGATATAATTAGTGAAACATTGGTATCAATAGAAAGGAGACGTGAATTGATTAATGCCTACAAAATAACTGATGTATTCATTGANTGTAGTCCTCCATCACCTGACACTTCAAGTGAAACCTCTGTCCCTCCACTATATTCGCAGACTTGTAGTTAGTCTTCTGGAACTCTTCAAACAAATACATCCACGGCTTAGCTATCAATGCATAAACATATCAATTAATTTGCTTTCATTTGCCATTCAATGCAGTCATAGCTCACATCGGACTATAATTTTGGTGAAGAGGTTGGAATCTGTGGGTGATTCACACCTCCAGTTGCCGATATCACTACAAAAGCAGTCATACTTATGGTTAATATTTCACGTGATTCCTCAATGAATAGTACTTTTTATTGGCTTTTGAGATGAAAAGAGAGCCGTCTTTAGGATCGATACTAATTCGTTGTTTGTCTTCATCCGAGAAAGAGTTGTATTCAACATCTTCTTTGTACCTATCATTCAAAGCCATCAACACATGCATCAGTGGGATATGGAGGCAAAGAGTGCACCAGTGGTCATGTCTTACCACTTCCAGATGACCAGCACGTGTTGGTCATGGTTAGTGAAGTTGCAGACAATGTTCAGGGCCTTGTTCTCCGCCAAAAGGATAGGACTGTTGGTAGATATGGGGCTATCTTTGGGATCAAAGAGTTGTGATTAATGTGTGGCCGATTGCACCACTCAATGGTATATCACTTAATATACAACTAATTGAATGCATAATCAAAATGCAATGAATGGATGAATGGATGCAAACAAACCTGAGTTTGAGTTTGGGATTAAAGACAATAAAATAAAAGCCAATAATAGGTATAAGTAATGGTTATTATGATGATTATTGATTGCTTTGAAATGCATTTTATATGCAATTAATGAAGTAATGGATCTATAATTTGATTGAATATTAAAATGTGAGTTAAGATAACAAACAAAACGGTTTAAAGAGTGAAATAATCGGAGAAAAGGTCACGCATTGAGACTAATTGTAAATCACATCTAATAGGCATTCAATGAATGGACTGACAAGAGCTGTACTGTCTCTCTGTACTCCACAGTACTGTACATTCACTTCACTATTACTATAACCACAATAACGATAACGATCACAAACTTATTGATCACTTCACGTCATGTTAGACCAAACACCACACTCTCACTACTCAACCCAACCCATCAATGACTACCTGAGCAATAGTAATGTATGGCAAGGTATGCTGCACATGACAATAGAAATTTTCATCATGGTCACATCAATTATTTCATATATGTGCTTATTTTAAATGTAGCACTAATTCTTATCAATTAAAAGTAATCAATGAATTAATGAATATCAATTGAGTGAGGTTTTGGTAAATTATATTAAATATATCATAAATTATGGTTACATTTAAATATATTTTATTTGATTGATTAGACGGTAGCTATAATTATGTAAATGATTGGTTAATAGGAATTAATATAAATTAAATATAAATGAGTGGATTTGGGAAAAGGGATCAATAGATGAGGGGATGGTATCTATGATTGCGGCAAATATTACAATCATAGCAATCGCGCAAATCATTGAAATAAAACTAAACTTTATTTACAATTTGTCATTATTCTCATCAAATTTACACAAAATTGATTCATAATTAAAATAATTCTTCATTGAATACGGAATATTATATAATTTATGTAATTATATATTAATTTTAAACTTGTATTTATAACCTCATAGTATTAGCCATACATAGGAATGATGTTTGCCTTCAAAATATGTTTGCCTTCATATTACAGTACTGTATATTATATTGCATTTTATTTATATTTAATAACTATTAATCAAATGATAAGTTGTTTATATTCCCAAATTATATTTAATATTACAGAAATATATGTCATATTATTGAACCAATACTTATACAGCTTATTAATATATTATCTAACGTCTTGACATTTAAGAGTTTCAATTAATAATTAATTATTATTAAAGAATTTATTATATTTTAAAGTTTATACATAGATTTATATCTACTTTTTATATTTACAAAATTATAATATAAATTATAATATAGTCAAGTATGCAATAAATTATAGTGAGATTTGCGGACTTTGCTAATAAATTTATTATATTTTAAAGTTTATACATAGATTTATATCTACTTTTTATATTTACAAAATTATAATATAAATTATAATATAGTCAAGTATGCAATAAATTATAGTGAGATTTGCGGACTTTGCTAATTGTTGATTGAAATTATTGGTAAATTATCTTTCTGTATTAAATTATTTAGAAAATTATTTCCATAAATATTTACAACAAAATTATTAGTTTAATATTTAGGTTTTAAGTTCATATTAAACAATTTAATAATATTTTATTAAAATATACTATGTAATATTATATAAGAATATTCAAATTAGGAATTTACCAAGTTGTTAAACAAAATGAGCAATTTTATATATTTTCATTTTCATAAATTGACAAACTCACTGTTATTTTATTAAAATTTTTATTAAAATTGTCAATATAAAATTTCGTAATGTTAATTTAAGAGATTACATTAATTTTAATTAATTTAATAAGTTAAAGGAGAATAAGTTATGAAATGAATCAGCATTTCTTTGCAACATAACATACTGTACTGTATTTATTATAAGAATCTCATTTCTAATTCTAATTTTAAAATATTACTTTCAATTCAGATATCCTGATACTGTACCGTAATAAAAAATATTTCACTATTCAAGTTTTCTCTAAATAATCATTTGTCATATCAATACAGTATTGGTAATTGTAATATACTGGATTTATAAAAATCATGCAAATATTGTACAGTATATGATATTATACTTTTAATTCTTTAACCATTTAAAATAGTTAAATGTATATCAATTAAATAAAACCATTTTAAAAGGAATATTTTAAAAGCCTATCTATTAGGGTATAATTAGTTTTTAATCATATTATTTAAATAAAAATGTTAAGAAATTGATGCATGCAATTGAACATAACATGCATTTATTTGAAAGAAAATAAATTAAACTATATGCTTTGTGTATTTAAATTAATCGCAATTAAAATTTATACATTGTAATAATAATCATAATATATTTATTTTAGATTTTTATATTAAATATTATTCAGTTATATAACTATTATATTATCTATATTGTTTGTTAGTAATTGTAAAATTATTTAGCATTTTGCCACAAACAGTACATCAAATTTATTTTTAGCAATTTGCTAGTAATATAAAAAAAATTATTGCTAATAAAATGATTTTCAAGAAATATATTTTCTGAATAATTGATTTTTTAATACAATATAGTATTGCACAGAATTGAATTGAAAGCATAGACTCTATGGCATAGAGTTTTGTCAGTTATTAATCTTTATGATCTCATTTCCTTAATATCAATTTTATATGAAATTCAGATAAATATAAAAAATTAGTAATAAATAACAAGTGATTAAGAAAATCAAATTTTTTAAAACTTATATTAGAGGCCAAAAATATGACAATTTCTCAGATTATTTGAATTCAAATAAACAGATTTATTTATTTTTATTAAATAAATGCTTCAATTCATAAATAAAACAAAATAATAGATAAAATAGAGATTTGAAATCATATGATAAGTAGTGACTTGATTTGAGTAACAAGTAAGATATGAATTGTCATTTATATTTATAAGAGTGTAATTAACTATAAGTTATAGTCTATAACTTTGAATATCAAAGTATCAGAGAATATTAGCGTAAATAAGTGAGAATTAAATACTTATTAAGCTTATTGAATGCTGTATGATTGAAAATATGGGAAATTTAAAATATAATTACAAAATGTAAAACACAAACGACTGACCTCTCACTGAAAGTAAAACTGAAGTCTCATCTTCACTGTATCTGTTGCTCACAATACAAGTGTAAGAATTAGTATGAAATTGAGTGGCATTCCTAATAATTAATAGCGCGTCGGGATGTGAATTCACGTCAGCTCTGATCTCAATCCCAAGTTTTCTCATGTCTTCATAACTAAGTTTTTGATTACCTTTGGAACCATTGTGTGAAATATAATATAATATTTAAAATTATTATCAAATTTATAATATAATAAACTTTCATATGAAGCAAATACTACCGATAAGCCAACGAATTTTGCCGACAGGATATCCCGTATATTCACAGCGTATGACCCGTCTGTCACCCTCTGCAACACTGTCTGTGTTTGGAAAGGGTTTCACTCGAATCGGTGCTATTCATCAAATCAATTGAATTTGAATGGGAGACCACTTGAATGCCAATTGAATAGACAGTACCTCTGAGTTGAATCATTTGTCCGAATTGTGAGCCACCCCTGGAAGACAAAGAGTCAACGCGGCACAGGTAGTCTCCAGAATCGACAACACTGGTAGCATCCCTTATTATTAAGTTAGACTCTTCTACTGTTCTCCTGTCGTCAATCTCGATTTTTATGCCATTTTTAAACCTATTATTTAAGTAATTACTTAATTGTCTATAATTATTGTCATTATAATTATCTTTTATACCAAAATATTTCGTTGTCTTTTGCTTTCGATAAGATATGGCACTTAAGAACAACTGTAGAGAGCTCTTCTTTGATCTCTTCAAATGCAATGTTTGGTTCGGGTATGGGATCAGCAGTTGAAGAAATGGGTTCAGATGTGATCACATCCAAGCGATGATAATTACGGCTAAAACTATTGCATCGATAAAATCCTGAGTCATAGGCACTAGCATTGGATACGACTATTGTCTCGATTCGTGTCATTTGAATACCAATCCTATTATTAAAACTAATTCTTTTGCTTTCACTGATTGGTAACTCATTTAGAGTCCATTTGGGAGCTTTGAATTGTGACATTTGACATGATATTTGAAAAGTTTGCTTTTCATTCACAAACTTTGGCCCATAATAGTCGACGTCCACTTTCTTCCAATCGAGTCCTTCCTCCTGAGCAAACACACCATCTGTTTGGTTATCAAACAATTCATAATTATTTCATTTGATTAGTATTATGATTACAACATGTCATGTGAACTATAATTATTCTTAGCAATTAATTATTCTTATACATTCATATTCATTTGAATTATTTTTAACGTAAACACATTATTAAAATAAAATCTTAAGTTTACCTGATAGTTGGTTTGCAATATAAAATATAAAAACTATTAACTGTGTATAAAATATATTCAATTTGCATGAAAGCCTCATTGTAATCTTTACTTAATTTAATTAAATAATATAAAACTTCAAGTGAGACACATTATTATTCCAATAATTATCTGAACATTCATATAATAAATGAGCCGAACCAATTATACTTTATATTCTAAATATGGTATAATTGAATTTGAAATTAAAATAAAAAATGATGAACAAAAAGCAATTAAATATTGTTGAGGAGTAAATCATATAAAGGTTTGCGCACAGCAAGGATCGGTAGGTCTGAGTTGGGCTGAATTGTGAGCATATTTTTATTTAAACTGCGATAAAGTATAACGAATGGTGCAGTTGTCGCAAGTCATGGTATTGTGAGCTAATTTGGGACACTCTTAGTCTCAGCTCTCCTTATCTTAAAATAGACTTCAGAGAGGGTTGGCTTCAACTTAATTGCATTGTTAAACACTATGTATTTATAATACAAATTTTGCTCATAAAGTACTACAATCTTTGCATCATACTATGGGTTGTGTTTAATCGTGATTTAACAACTTTATTTTGCATATATTTTTAATTCTAGTAAATATTTAAGTTTTGTGACTAATTATGACATTTACATTTAGTGTCAATCTTAAACAACATTGCTTCATTTTATTGAAAACTTCTGGAATAATACATTTAAGATATATAATTTTATAAAATAAAATTTGCATCTATAAATTGCTTTTAACAAATTTAATTAAATTCCATGTAAATATATTTACAGTATACCATACTTATATATAATTCATTTTGAATATAATAAAAATTAAATTACATGTAATTTTTATGCTTTCAATTATAAGTAGTGAATGGAATAAAACTTAATTAAAGTAGAGTTAATAAAAATTTAAAAGCATTGAATATTTAAATTAGTTTTAAAGTAGAATTTGAGATATTAATTTATTGATTTCTATAAGCTATTGTTAAAGTTAAATATTAGATTTTAGATGAAAGTGCTAAGGCTTGTTGAAAATAAAAATTTTATTATTAAATTATAAAAATATTACACAAAAAATTGTCAGCCTTTCATGATTTTGTTAAAATTTAAAAAACCAAAATTAGAAATAAATTTCATGTAATATACCGGTATATTATATAATGTTTAACTTTATATAAAATTATAAGTCATCCGGGTTTGCTATTATTGCATAATAATTTAAGATAAATAAATCAAGAAATTGATTAAATTGTTTAAAGTTGATCAAGCAAAACTTTATACAAAATATACTATATCTCCATTTCTTAGAAATTATAATATAATAATGTATAATTTAAAATAAAATTCTTATTACCAGTAAATAAATTAATGTTTAAAATTAGTTGTCTCAGTGTAAACAAATTAATATAAATAAAATAAATATTTAAAATTACTGTATTTTTATTTAAAAAATATAGAAATATCGTATATATGATTTAAAAAAGATATTTTAAATGCGCTATAATTAATTTTAATTAATCTCTTTTACATATGATTATTTTAACTAAATATAACATAAATAAAAATAAAAATAATTTTGTAACATTAGTTGTAATAAATAAAATAGTGGTCAAGCATTGACTGCAATGAACAGCATTGAGGGCAAGTAGTCTTTTGGGAGATTTTGTGAATCACAACTAATTCTTCATTTGTTTCGTATATAAATACGAAAATTGTTTTCTTTTTATTAACATTTCAATAAAATATGAAATTTAACAGCTTATTAACAAATTACACAAATAAATTATAAATTAATAAATTGCTTGAAAAATAAACAAATTATGGGTGGGGTTTACACATAAGAATACTGCAGATTGTTAGTCATAATATTGAATTGAATTGATGAGATATATTGGTACCACATATTGGGTTTGTAAAGAATAAAACAAAATGTAGAATATTTATCAAATGTGATATATATTGATAAACAATTTGATGGTTTAATTGAAATGAAGTAATGATTGAAATGAACAGACATTTGATGCAATGCATTGAGAAGCGAGCGATAAGTTAGGGAACTCTTGCGCATCGATTGGAGTGAATGTGTTTGTAGTGAATCTGCGATAAGTTATAACAATTGACGGTATAGTGAATGGTGTAATATATGGTGTATTACAGTATATGGTATACTATATTCAGTGAACGCTTATGAGGTCTGAATGAGACATAAGATGGCGAACGATGGCAACGAAGGAGAAAATCTTTCAAAAAATGATTGCACGGAAGAGAGCATTGAATCGTTGAGGAAAGAAGTGGAGAGACTGAAGACCCGTCTGGAAGAGGAGCGCAAAAAGCTAAACGACGTCACCTGTAAGCCATTTGAACCTGAACTGCCTCCCCTATCACCACATCCATCACATCCTCTCTATAACCACCATTCCTTCCAATGTTTCACTTCTTTTAAACTTACCATTCATTTCACATTAAAGAGCAATAAATTTCATTCAAATGTGTGTTCAGTTTCATCGGCAGCCGAACGACTCGATAGTGTAATCAATTTGAATGTGAAGCCGCGGCGGGTGTTGAAAGGACATCAGGGTAAAGTACTCTGTTCCGACTGGTCCTATGATAACAGACATATTGTCAGCTCATCACAAGACGGCAAACTCATCATTTGGGACGCGTTTACCACTAATAAAGTATTTCATTCATTTATTACATCCATTTGCATCCAATACTAATAGCAAACTGTGTGTGAAGGAACACGCCATAACTATGCCAACCACTTGGGTTATGGCCTGTGCTTACGGGCCGACCGGCAATTTGGTTGCCTGCGGGTGAGTCACTGTCACCACACACTCTCATTCATGCCATCTATTCATACAATTCAATGTCTTGATGAACAGAGGTCTGGACAATAAGGTTACGGTTTATCCACTGAATGTTGAGGAAGACGTGGCCACCAAGAAGAAGAATGTGGGAACTCATACCTCATACATGTCTTGTTGTCTCTTTCCGGGAACAGATCAACAAGTAATTCAAACATTAATACAGACTGATCATGATCATTTTCAATAATAAGAGTGCATTTGTGCCGTAGATATTGACAGGAAGTGGTGACAGCACTTGTGCGCTCTGGGATGTCGAGTGCGCGTCACTCATACAGAGCTTTCACGGCCACAGCGGAGATGTGATGGCAATAGATCTCTCGCCCTCTGAAACGGGAAATACATTCGTTTCGACAGTAATTCAAACAAATCCACAAATAATACAAAAACCGATTATTAATTACAATGTCATCGATAGGGCTGTGATAGACAAGCGTTGATATGGGACCTCCGAAATGGTCAGTGCGTCCAATCATTTGAAGGCCACGACGCGGACATTAATTCTGTAAAATATTATCCAAGCGGTGACGCCATCGCCACCGCATCCGATGATTCCACTGTAAGACAACACATCATAATTGAAACAAATCATGAAATCAATGTCTAATAAATTGCAAAATATATCCCCTTTTAGTGCCGTTTATTCGACTTAAGAGCCGATAGAGAAGTTGCCATTTATTCAAAACAAAGCATAATATTTGGTGTGAATTCAGTAGATTTCTCGATTAGCGGTCAGTTATAAAGCAATATCCATTGAATAGCAATTTGTTTGACTCTATTTGTACGGAACTGTACTGACAGGTCGACTATTATTCGCCGGTTATAATGACTATACAGTGAACGTATGGGATACTATGAAGTGCTGCCGACTCTGTATTCTCTACGGCCACGAGAATAGAGTCACTTGTCTTAAGGTGTCCCCCGACGGAACGGCTCTGTCCACGTGTAGTTGGGATTTCAATTTAAGGGTAAGTGTGCTATCAATGCATGCCAATTGCACTGTTCATTAATCACTGCTTTCTGTCCGCTATTTTAGGTGTGGGCCTGATTTGTAATTAATACTAGTTTTTCAATATAAATAAGTTTAGGCTTTGTTTGCGGACTCTCTAACACTTTGTTAGACTCACTGAACAAATGTTCGGATCAATAGATAATAGATGTGATCGTTTGGGATCAATAAGAATCTGTCGATCGATGGAAACAGTGAGCAAACGTTGATTTTATAATATTCTATGCATTCATTACTTCAATTCGTAAATCACCGGAAGAATAGCTACTATTGTGACCAAAACTCAGATCTGAATTGATTGCGAGCAATGGGTGTAAACACAATACGATTGAGTGAATATAAATACATTTCCAATGATAAAACGGGACCACATTATCAATTGTATTAAGATTTTAATGTAAACTCTATTAAAATATTAACTTAAAAAATATTAATAATAAGTTTAAGAAAAATCACGAGTCATTCAAGAATTCAAGTCTTATGTTATAATTGAATTGATTTTATAAATAAGAAAATAATCAAAATCAATGACACTGTAATGATGGCTAAAATTTAAATTATATTTTAAAAAGCAATTTGATTATTTGAATACAATATGAGTTATGTATTGTATTTACTTATCTCTTCAAATAAATTGATTGATAAAACGTTTGCTCTTAATTTAATCTAAATTTTGCGCATTTTTATAGTGCCATTGAATTGTCATTAAATAAGTTTTAGTGTTAATAAAAGGCACAAATCATAAAAAACTGATAACATTTGTTTCCATTGTTTCCTACAAATTGGCATCAATTCTAATCTTATATTAAATTATGACACAAAAGAAGTTACAAATCATTTCTCAAAATTAGGGAATGAATTATTTTGTGTGAAAATAAGGCACAGAAATCACATTTTTATAATACAATCGACAAAACCTATTAATACTTAAACCACATTATTTTGTATTTTGCATATCGTTTATCGGGGTTCTCTCTATTGAATATTTGTTCGCTTGAGAACTACCGGTTCACTTGAAAACTACCGGTTCGCTTGAGTTTCAATTATATTAATTCTTATAAAAAGGAAACCATTCATCAAAATGGATGACTAATTACAAAAGGAAATGGAAATGTGTTTTCGTTACAAATATCAATACAAAAGACTACATCTTATAATACTTGGGAACCATTTGTTAGGGAAACCAATTCATAATAAATTAAAAGTTCTATACATTTGACTCAAAAACACAATTCAAAAAACTATTTGTCAATAATAATCATAATAATACAAAACATTACTTTTAAAAAGTATCCACAAAATTGAGTCAATAAATAAACTAAAGGGTCAGTTCTTTCAAGTGATCCAACTTTTTGAAAACAACTGAAAATGTGGGTCTCTTTTCGGGCTCCAAATCCCACGAGTGTTTCATTATCTCATAGACTTCAACCGGACAACCATCGGGTGCTTCCATTCGGTAACCCTTTTCCACGTGTTTCACCACATCAGCCAATGGCTATTCATACACAACAAATGGACAAATGGTTAGCAATTGTGAGCAAATGGTTTCAACTAAGTTATACGGGAATAGTCGTACAATTCTAGGATAGGGTACTCTTCCAAATGAGTAGATTTCCCACAAAAGTATTCCAAAACTCCACCTGTTTTTCAAATATACGGAGTATTAACACAACTGAATAAATATTGAATCAATGAATGAATGAATGGCTCACATATCAGACTTATTGGAGAATTTGTTGTGTCGGAGAGCTTCGGGTGCCGTCCATTTGATAGGAAACTTTCCGCCTTCGAGATTGAAGGTCTCATCTCTGGCTAAACCAAAATCACATACTTTTGCGATACAGTCTTCGGATATAAGCACATTCCTGGCCGCCAGATCCCTATGCACCACATGTTTTGACTCTAAATAACTCATTCCGGCGCACGTGTCGGTCGCAAAATTTATTTGATCTTTTTTGGTCACGTGATGCCTTCCTCTGGATCTCAAGTAGTCAACCAGAGATCCCTTTGCCATAAATTCGGTGATCAAACAAATAGAGGGTCCGTCAAAGACAACACCCAATAATTGAACTAAATTTTTGTGTCTTAAAGATGTCATAAGACTGGCTTCTGTTAAGAAGTCTTGTGCGGCTTTACTCGAGTCCTTGAGCTTCTTGACGGCCACCTTCTGGCCCCTCAAAGAGCCCAACAGTACGTCTCCAAACTCTCCCTTTCCGAGAATCTCTCCGAGTTTCAAGTCATGCATTTTGATGACCCAACCCGCGGCTTCAAATGCCTTCGAGTCTACACTGAACTCAAAACTTCCACTTTTAGGAACTGATACGCGAAGGGTTGTACACAAGCCGTCCGCGTCCGCGATATAGTGCTGTTAAACATGAAATTCAATTAGTTTTCTCATAATTACGGCTATTATTGCAGTAACATATCAACAAAGTTTTATTACATCCACGAGTTGTGACAGATTTTCAAAGTATTCCTCCTCATCGATGGTTAGCTTATTATCTTTATATATGACTCTATAGTGTTCGACCCGATTGTTGAAACACACGCATAGAGTGTAATCCCCGGGAAAGTTAGTGCTCTCTCTCACCAAAAATAAGCCGTCCTTTAGATAAGACATTATAACCATTAGTTTGTCATCACATGAATCGTGTGAATAGTTTACAGCTCTGGGCATAAGAAGCGCTTCGGCCTCATCTCTGGTGATCTTTCCGTGAAACCAATGCATTGCATTCAACTTCACTTCAGACCTCTTCTGGATATAATTGGCGGGAATGAGGCCTTCCCTGCCGTCCACGTGTCGCGCTCTGTACCAGTTTGGGTCCTATAGTACATCCATTATATCATTACATATCATATCATACTTAAGACACCATTAGAAGACATACTCTTGTCTGGTGTGTTATCGTCAGAATGTCTCCCTTTTCGAAGGATAAGTCCTCCTCAGCCTTACCACTGAAGTGATATCTCGCCACCACTTCTGTCCCAATTGGCCACTAAATGGCAGACATATCAACACATATTAATGTGACAATTCATAGCATCAGATGCAGACATACCCCTCTGGAAGTGATTCTTTCGTCACTCATTACCATAACGTTATTAAAAGCACTTCTGTGTAAGACTTGTGTTCATATCGTCGACAAGACATTGATTTATAGACACAACTCACAAATGACCACTTAATTGGTTAATAGATATTCTTGTATTCAATAAGTACTCAAATAGTGGACACTTTTTGGTGATTTACAAAACAGTATAATATTTGTATCTAATTGTCATTCAAATACAATTAGAAACGATTGAATGATTGATTGGTTGTAAACGTTGGCTACAAATGTAGAAAATATGCAAAACTATTAGAAAAAGTGTTGAGTATTGCATAACATTGTATGCATTCATACAAATCAATACAATTAGTGTCCAAATGATTGTTAATACAAATTGAGAGTCAAGTGAAATCACATTAACATTGATTGAGTCGTGAACACAGTGTTGAGTGCATTGGTGTGCATGACATCAGGTATTGTATTCATGTGAATGACAGTGACGTGAATAGGTATAGATGTGGTGATCACATAATCATCATTACACTGATTGTGGTTTAGTTATACTAACCGTAATGTTAGCACTGATTGAGTGTTTGGCAAAACAATACAACAAATACCACACAATATGTGGACATTGGATGACATGAAAGCGCTTCATAAACACCATTACATTATTATTACGGTATGAATGCATTGCAGTGAAAGTGACACTCAGTGTCTGCCCATTCAGCCAATGCTATGCCTTTGAATGGGTTTGAGTGAATGGGCTATGAATGCAATGATTGTGTAATACTTATGACACTCTGTTTGTTGACATAGACTGCAGTGATTGACTGCAACACCAATACACCAGTGGATCCACTGATCACTGATTCACTCTTTGTTTACATCTCACACCACATATACTGTGAGACATGCTGTGAGTGCAGTGTATGGCAAGTGATCAGTGAAACAGTGATGAGTGCCGAGGAGTGCAAGACATCAGTATTGCGACGATTGGGTGACAGTGGCAGAGATGGGCCGCAGTATGAGCTGAGACTGTCGTTCCTGTCGTCCGCCCTCAACAGCTACCGGTGCGACTCAATACTCAAACCATTTCCACACCAATACATGCAGTCGCACACCACTGACAAAGACTTTGATTGTGTCGTATGTCTTCATGTCTTCATGTCTTCATGTCTTCATGTCTTCATTCATATTCATGTCTTTCTATTCACTTGTATTATCTGTTTAGAGACGAGACTTAGAGTCGATTCCCTGCTTAAGTGAGTTGAATGAAGACTACCAGATGTCAGACAACTGTTGGCAACTTCTTCATTGGGTTATGACTTCGGGATCCTTTCAACTCATACTCCGATCCATTGACTCACAACAAGTACTCATTGATTACTATATCCTATAAGACATAATCCATTCTCACTATGAATTGTGGGCAAAGATGTGCCATATATTGAATGCAAACCAGTTATCGCTGAAGAACTTTAAGCCGACGCTTATCTTCGAAGTGGTGTCTCAGCCGAAGAGGTCGTTCACAGAAGCGAAAGAGCGTTTCGGTACGTTTTGGGCGTTTCACGGGTCGGCCGTCGAGAACTTCCACTCCATTGTCCACAACGGACTCGTCAATTGTCTCAATAAAGTAAACCATTGTCTCCATCACTCATTACTAATACATTACTCATGAGTTATATGGCTATAGAGAGCCCTTTACGGTTCGGGAACTTACATGAGTTCACAACTAAGCGTTGCCATTGAGTTCAGTCCATTCGGCCGAGGGTGGAACAAGTCATCGCTCGGCAAAGAGATCAGTTGTGT